GTTTTGGGAGTTTAGGGTCTACCTATAGCTTCCATTGCAGTTCCTTTTTGGGGTTACTTGTTAGGATCCTTAATATAGAATTGGTTAAACCGGGGAATTACAATGGAGACAATAGGTAGGGTTGTGGTTTAGGAGTTGTAGGGGTGCCGGGTTTAGGGGTTTAGGGCAGAGTGGAGGTTTTGGGTGGATAGGGTGCCAGGCTGTACCTTAGGATTTAACACATACACACAGGCACGCACACCCAGACACACTCGTTTGTTTGTGTAATTACTTAACTGCCTTTCTCGAACTTACATGTTTGTTCGGCTGCTTTTTGTGTTTAGTGTGTTTGAAAGTGTGTTTGGTGTGTTTGTGTGTGTGTGTGTGTCTGTGTGTCTGTGTGTGTCTGTGTGTGTCTGTGTGTGTGTCTGTGTGTGAATGCGTGTGTCTGCGTGTGTCTGCGTGTGTCTGCGTGTGTCTGCGTGTGTCTGCGTGTGTCTGCGTGTGTCTGCGCGTGTCTGCGCGTGTCTGCGAGTGTCTGCGCGTGTCTGCGTGTCTGCGCGCGCGCGCGGGTGTGTGTGTGTGTGTGCGTGTGTGCGCGAGTGGGCGTGTGCGTGTGAGTGTGCGTGTGCGTGTGCGTGAGCGTGTGCGTGTGCGTGTGATTGTGCGTGCGTGTGATTGTGTGTGTGTGTGTGTGTGTGTGATTGTGTGTGTGTGTGTGTGTGTGATTGTGTGTGTGTGTGTGTGTGTGTGTGTGTCTGCGTGTGTGTGTGCGTGCGCGCGCTCGCGGGTGTGTGTGTGTGTGTGTGTGTGTGTGTGTGTGTGTGCGCGTGGGTGTGTGTGTGTACCTGTGTGCGCCCACGTGTGTGTGTGTGTGTGTGTGGCGGGGTTGGGTGCTTGTGCATTCTGTGTGTTTGTTTGTCTGTGTGCTTGCTTGTTTTGGTTTGTGTTCTTTGTTGGATTGCTTTTTCGTTCGTCTGTGTGTTTTGAATGCTGATTCTTTTGTTTTGTTGTGTGTTGCTCTGTGTTGTGCAGGTGTATCAACGGTGATGTCTTGAACCGCTGGCTTCAAAAGCAAAGGGCTGCAGTTAGGATTTAGAGGTTTGGGGTTTAGGGGTTTAGGGTTCCCCCTTTTCGGAAGTTGTGGTGCTTGCATGAGTTTTAGGGCTTCAGGGGTTCATGGGAAGCTGACAGGTGGTTACCGACGTTTTCTTCCTGCCGCCCATCCTTTTCTGTGCCTTTGCTGACCTCTGAGAGCAAGTGTGTCTCTGGTCTTCTACGAACGTTCTGTGAAGTAGAGTGGAGCCACGATGGTCAATATGGGCGTTTCCGAGAATTAGGGGTGACTTCTTTTAACCTTTGGGGTCCTTATAATACAAAGGATCCTACTATATTTGGGATAGAAGATTAGGGCTCCCTATTTTCGAAAAGTCCCATATACTGGGGATGGCAGAGCCGTAGAAGGAGGGACGTCGTATTCTGCAGAAGGGTCGTGTCATATTACGCGCCCCAATACTGCGGGCTTTGTTGAGGCAGCATGTCCTCTGAGTTGGGCCTTTATTTGGGTTCCTTATATGAATCCTACTATTTGGGGGTTACAGGCCCAGGGTTTCTAAATCAGGTTCCTACATTATTTTTACGTACTATTACTATTATTATTACTATAGTACCCTTATAGATCCCTTATAGTAACCCTTATAGACCACTTTAAAGGGACCCCAAAAGAAAAGGCCCCAGGCTTTTAACCCCTTTCGGCCGCAACCCACTAGCTTGCAGAATGCCCTTGGCCTGAGCCTGATGCCGCAGTAGGGTTTACTTGGAGGGTCGGGGGACTTAGTTCCTTTTTGGGGTTACCTTCTAGGATCCTTATATAAAACTGGCTAAACTAAAGCAGGAACTATACAATGGAGACTATACTTGGAGGGTCGGGGGACTTTGTGAGTAGGTAGTAAGTAGACTTATAAGTAACCCAAAAGGGACCCTAATTGGGGTTATGGTACTTATAAGTCCTTTAAAGGGTTTCCTTATAGGCTTAAGATTCCCTTAGCCCCAAGGGTCCAAAGGACCCAATATTCAGGTACTCGGTTTTAGGATAGTAGTTATGTAGGTTAGGATTTCGGAGAGTAAATGATTATTAGGTACTTGGACCCTTAGGGTTTAAAGGGAACTCCAGAAAGTTGGAATATGGATTCAGGGTAGGATACCTTATAATTTACCATAAAGGGTTTAGGATAATCATATTCCAACTTTCTGGCTTTTACTGTATGAGGTTTGATCCTGAGCCCCAAACCCGAACCCGGTAAACGCCAGACCAAGAAGCAGACACTTTCGGATTTGGGATTTAGGGTTTGGAGTGGGCATGAACAAGCCTGTGCCAGAAAGGGTTTAGGATTGCATAGCAGCCGGTGAGTAGCATTTGCGCTCGTGTCAAAACTACTTGTCGTAAGACCCTAAACCCTAAACCCTGAACCCTGAACCCTAAACCCTCAACCCTAAACCCTGAACCCTAAACCCCAAACCTAAGATGGAAGCTCGCAGGGTTTCGACCCAGGGTGTAAAGGACCTAGACGAGCTTTGTCCATCTTCCCAGACCCCCAAAAGGATCCAAAAAGTAGATCCCTTAATGGGGGTTCCTATAAAGTACCTTTAGCAGTATCGGGCCCCTAATTAGGGGATCTACTTTCTAGATCCTCCCGGGGGTCTGGGTTCCTTATATGCGCCAAAAGGCTTCGACCGAAAACCCTAAACCCCAACCGCAAATCCTAAACCCCCCAAACCCCTCAACCCTAAGCCGCGTCATATGCCTCGCCTGGATTGTCCGAGTGTGAGCGCCGAAACCCCAATATCCCTAAACCGCAATCTATAGTCTCTTCAGGATTTATTAATTTTTGTTCATATACAACCCGAGAGAGTACTAAAGACATTATTTTGACTCCGTTCTGAGGGGGGAGAGCAATGCAAACCCTCAACCCTTCGCCAAGATCTGAAGGCCGAAACACTGCTTGGCTCAAGCGAGAGAGAGCCATGCCTTGCGCGCAGCATCCATCGATCCCTCGCCGTCTCCGTTGTCTGTACCTCTGTCGCGCTTTGTCATGGTGGGTGGTTGCCTGAAATCAAGGGCACCATTGAACCCTACTAAACCCTAAACCTATAAACGCTAGACTTAACCTTTTACCCTGAGTTGCAGATTGTATTTTGGACCGCCAGTTCCTGGAAAGCCACCCCCCACAACGCATGCTTCAGGGCTTTCTCGTTTGGGGCTATTCCCTCCTGAAGCAGTCCCCCAGACCCCCCATGCACCGTGCACTCTCTTGGTGGTTACCATGATGACTGACCCTTATATATATGTGAGGCCTACACCCTCAACCCAAACCCCTAAATCCTAAACTCTTGAGACCAACATGCCTCGCCTGGATTGTCCGAGTGTGAGCGCCGAAACCCTAAACCCGAAGTCGTAAGGTAAAAGCCAGAAAGTTGGAATATGATTATCCTAAGCCCTTTATGGTAAATTATAGGGGATCCTACCCTGAAACCATATTCCAACTTTCTGGAGTTCCCTGTAAACGCTCAACCCTGAACCCAGAAGGGCGGCCCAGCTCAAGGTTGGAGTGTCTTTACTACGGAGGGATGGGTGCTGAGGGGGAAATTTGCGCAGGAGGTGATCTGCCGGCCAGGGTTGAGTCCTGCAATGTGGGATTTAGGGCTTGCAAGGGTGTAGGGTTTAGCTAGAGTGTCCTGCTGCACGGCAGTCTAGCCTGTAAAATGGACCCTAAACCCTGCAGGCCTGCACCCTAAAGCCCTTAATCTGCTTCGCAGGATACTACCTAGAGTCTGCATTGCAGATCCTTTTTGGGGTTACCTTTTAGGATCCTTAATATAAAATTGGTTAAACCAAAAAAAGGAACTACAATGGAGACTATAGGTAGACCCCAAACCGGAGACCTAAACCCCCGGCCCTGTAGTCCCTTCTTGGAGGTGCATGGGTAGTTATAAGTACCTATAGTCTCCATTGGGGTTCCTTTTGTTGGTTAAACCAATTTTATATTAAGGATCCGAAAAGGTAACCCCAAAAACGAACTACAATGGAGACTATAGGTAGGGCTATAAGTACAGGTATGACGCCATCCTTGGTCATCACGAAGCTGCTCTTGCTTGCCATGGCCTTCCCCCACACTGTCATGGCGGCCCCTGGTCTGCGTCACGGTACCTGCTTTCTGCTGCAGGGCTCCACCCCCCCTAGTTGGAGGGTCGGGGGACTTAGTAACGGGTTATTTTAAGGACTTAAAAGTACCAGAACCGCAATTAGGGTCGCTTTTCGGGTACTTATAAGTCTACTTACTACCTACTCACAAAGTCCCCCGACCCTCCAAGTATAGTCTCCATTGTAGTTCCTTGTTTTGGTTTAGCCAGTTTTATATTAAGGATCCTAGAAGGTAGCCCCAAAAAGGAACTACAATGGAGACTATAGGTAAACCCTAATTTCCGATGTCAACCATCAACCCTAAGTCCTGAACTACAAAACCCTTGCACAGTGTAAGGTTGAAGAGGATCTAGGGTTTAGGGTCTAGAGCTACCTATAGTCTCCATTGTAGTTCCTTTTTGGGGTTACCTTTTAGGATCCTTAATATAAAATTGGTTTAACCAACAAAAGGAACTCCAATGGAGACTATAGGTAGGGTTTAGAGCTAAGTTCAGGTTTGGGGTGGTTTTGGGATTTTACAGGGTTTTGGCGGATTGGGATTCAAGGCTCAAGGCGTTCAAAGGATGCCTTCAGCCTTTATCCCTCAACTCTCGACCCTACCTATAGTCTCCATTGTCATTCCTTTTTTTGGTTTAACCAGTTTTATATTAAGGCTCCTCAAAGGTAACCCCAAAAAGGAACGACAATGGAGACATATGGAGACTATAGGTAGACTCTGGACCGTTGCTTAGATCCAGGTGCGTTCTGCCCTTCAAGAGAAGGACCGTCAAGTCGAGTCGCGGCCCACGCGATTCAATGAGCAATCATTGCCAGAGCCCAAATGCCCTGCAGCTCGGGAGGCAGACAGCTGAGAGTTTTTAAGATTTAGGGTTTAAGGTTAGGATTTAGGGCTTAGGATTTTGGGTTTAGGGCTCAGGCCATAGGTTTTGTCATTTAGGCTGTAGGGTGTTTAGGTCTCCGTGGCTTGGTGGCAGACAGTCTTAGTGGCGGATGTGATTCAGGGAGTAGGGTCGTTGACGGTTTAGGGTTTGGGCTCAGGACTTGGGGTTAGGGTTTGGGGTTTAGGGTTCAGGGTTTCGTTGGCCCTTCAGGGATAGGAGTCAGGGCTCAAGGTTCAGGGCTTCGGGGGCCTGGTGATGCCGAGTTGTGGGGTGCTGGTGTGAGGGGCAGACTTGCCTGCCCAGATTCATGCTTCCACCTCAAAGGCTAGGGTTCAGGGCTTAGGGTTAGGGTGTAGGGTTTAGCTCTCCACATGTGCTGATAATCAGCTGCTCCATATAGTGAGCTGGTAGCTACATTGCTCTTGTGTTTGGTCTAGTACTGGGAACCTGAGGTGAAAGATACCTTTTAGGGACTTATATAAAGAAATCGCATTACGGAGCCCTAAAACTCGGTAGGTTCCTTCGGGTCCAGGTAGGGTGTAGGGGTGTTGGGGCTTTAGGGTTTAATATTTTTCAGGGCTTCAGGGTTTCGGTAGTTTAGGGCGTTTAGGGTTTACGGCTTCCTTTCACATCTTCACCCAGTCTTCGGAAAGGCGAAAGCGTTTAGGGTTTAGCTGAGGCCCTTCGACTATGCTTCCTTGTTGCATACCTCTGGCCCTGAACCGTAAACCCCATCAACACTGAGCCTCAGTCTGGAACCAGGACCCTAACAGCGCAAACCCCAAACTTTTCCTATAGTCTCCATTGTAGTTCCTTTTTTTGGTTTATCCAACTTTGAATTATGAGGATCCTAAAAGGTAACCCCCAAAAGGAACTACAATGGAGACTATAGGTACAGTCTAAACCCCAAACCCTAAGCCTTTGACCTCGCCTGGCTTGCCCACGTGTGAGAGCGCAAAACCAACAGTCCGAATCCTCAAGACCCAGTACTTGGAGGGTCGGGGGACTTAGTAACTGGTTATTTTAAGGACTTACAAGTACCATAACCTCTGTTAGGGTCCCTTTTAGGGTACTTATACGTCTACTTACTACCTACTTACTAAGTCCCCCGACCCTCCAAGTAGTCGAATCGGTAACCTTTAACCTTTGTTGGGTAGTATAGTCCCGATATCATCCCCATATAACCAAAAAGGCTAACTTTTAGTTCCCCATGATTCCCGACTAGAATATACCCCAGAACCCTATTCTAAGTATGAAGGCCCCTATATTCAAGTACCCTTATAGATCTGTTATAGACCCCTTTAAAGCAAGCCTACTCTAATAATAAAATGACAATCCTAAAGAAAACCCGCCAAGGGAGGCTCGCTGGCCACTGCTTGGGAGAAATATCGAGGCTGGTGGGGCGGGTGGTCGCCTCAGACGTGCTTTCGGCTTTTTGGGTTTCATTTAGGGTTTAGGGTTTAGTGTTGCCGTGGCATGCTTGCAGGGTGTTTGGGATATTTAGGGGCTTAATTAGGGTTCAAGGTTTAGTAGTCTCGTTTGGGCTTGAGAAGTTTAGGCTTCAGGGTACCTACGGCGTTAGGGAGTAGCACCTTACGTAGGGCATGCTGCAAGTTGCAAGAAGATCCGCAACCCCGATGATGCAGTGAAAGCCCTGAACAGCAAAGAAGACCTCTAGCATCCTGGATTTAGGGTCAAGGTAACGGGTTTAGGGTTTACCTACAGTAAACTGGCTAGGCTTCAGCCCAGTGGCAAAAAAGGGTTTACCTACAGTGCATGAGCGGACTCGCTGGCTGACACTCAGAGCCCACTAAAAGGGGTTTACCTACATTTGGGTGTAAGTTTAAGATTTAGGATTCTGGGCAGTGTGCTTTGCAGATTGCAGCACCCCTACATGAGACCCTGCACCCGCACGCTTAACCCTAAACCCTCCTTGCTCTCAGGCACTGGTTGTACCATTCGTGCGAGGTTTGCACCAAGCCGCTTCACTGAACTGGTTGAGTTCACTACACTCACTGCGCCGCCATTTCCTGGAAGCCCTTTCTGCATCTTCCTGCTGCATGCTCTAACCTCGTTCAGGGTGTTGGTAGTTGCTGTGGTGCTGCACAATCCAGAGTCTTCCCTGGTAAAGTGCATGTTGCCAACGGACGGTAGTTTCTTGTGGATGACGACACTTTCCGCCAAGACCCGCTGTCAGAGAGCACTATCACTTCACGTTGTTTTCAAAACCAAGCTAGACTCACGCAAGAGGTATCTCGCTTGCCATGTTGTTGCGCAAAAGGTGGGCTGCACGCGAAACACTCAACCTCACAGTGTCCATGTTCTGAACCACTGCTTCCCCTCACCATGAACCCTCCGTAATTAGCCGTAGCCCCGAGCAACGTTGCAAGCTCAAAAGCAGAAGCTGCACCCTTCAACAGCTGGATAGGAGGTCGTGGGTCTAGGGTTCATGGATAGGATTTAGTGCCGAAGGGTTTAGGTTTTAAGCTTCTAGGCTTTAGGGTGTAGGGGTTTGGATTTAGGCCCGTGACCTTCTTGGTCCCTAAGAGCGATCAAGCCGCAGCCCCAGCCAAGGCAAGCCCAGGACGAACTTCCGAGTTGCTACGGACTCAAGAATCCTTCGGCAACTACATATTGCAGGCGCTGCGAACCCAGTTCGAGGGTGTCGCGAAGTGTTTCGCTTCGTGACAGTCCGCATGACCGATGGCATAAATCCAGATCCTTAAATCCCAAGCCCTAAAGCCTTGCAGAGTTCCGAGTGCGAGAGTACAAAGCCATTCAACCATGCCCCCGACTGCCAGCAGAGCAGGCGATCGTCTCTCACACGCCACCCTGAGCCATGAAGCTTTTTTTGACCCCGCATTCATCAACTACCTACCCGTTTGTAATGGTCGCGATGTCAAGCTTTAGGGCCTTGAGTTCTAGGGCTTAGATCCCCACGATCATCCTCCTTGAACCGGAAGGGCCGGGGGGGGAAATCAGGGATCTACGATAGATCAGACAGGTCAGTTTATGACGGCTGTGAATGCTATGTGATGAAGGGAGAAAACATCAAGACGTGCGCCAACTATGAGAGCACGTACGTGTACTGGATGCTCGACGAAAAGCCAGGCACCTAGGACCTATAGGGTTGACTATTCAGGTGCTAGGGCTTAGGGTTTAGAGTTTAGGGTGTGGAGTTTATAGTTTATGGAATGTAGCATTTTATGCGCTGCGTTCCTGCCAGTAGTGCCCCGGCCAGCAAGGAAATGCTGCAATGGCTACTATGAGAGTCTTGGCCTGTTTAGGGTTTAAAGCTTACACTGCACCCTGAAACCCCCTCAAGTCTAGCTTCTCCCTACGCTTTACTTACCTTTGGTTAGTAGGGAATGAAGGAATGATAGTAATATATAGTATAATAGTGCCCATTCCTTCATTCCCTACTAACCAAAGGTAAGTTTAAGTTTTCAGGGTTTCGGGCTAAAGCTGCTCTAAGCTCGGCAGCCTGAGCCCGTTCCGTGGCGTGTTCGCGGGAGGTAGAATGTTTTGCAGAGCCCGCGCGCGCTTCTCAGGTGCAAGCCGTGCGAAGACGCGAACAAGGATTGCAGCCAGATGGCCGCTTGAGCTAATTTGAACAGTTTGGGGTCTACCTACAGTCTCCATTGTGGTTCCTGTTTGGGGTTAATTACCTTTTAGGATCCTTATTATAAAATTGGTTAAACCAAACAATGAACTACAATGGAGACTATAGGTAGGTTCCTGGGTAGTTCTAAGTGAGGTTATCAAACCCTTAAGATGGGTTATAACTGCAGTTATCATACTTATATTATAGCCCTACTTACACGTACCCATGGACCTCCAAGTAGGGACTACATGGCCGGGATTCAGGTCTCGAGTTTGGGGTCTGGGCGGCAAAGGGCATGGAGTTCAGGCTTCAGCTCTTCTAGGATGCCCAGTAGTACCCTTATTCCCTTTTTGTAGTCCTAGGTTCCTTATAAAGATACCCAATACCAAAAAGAGAGGCCTTTTTATTCTTAGGTGACTGCGTATCCTAGTCTTGGTGAATGGTCTAGGCCTACAAGCCCTGCCTACTTAAACCCTATACCCGACACGCCCAACGTCCTACCCCCCCGAACCCTAAACCCTAAAGCCCGCCTGGTTCGGCTAGTTTTGAGTGCTGAAAGGCCTCCATGCATAAGAACCCTAAAACCTAAAACCCCAAACCATCTCAAAACCACCCCAAACTCTAAAACCCTGAAGCTTAAACTCTAAGCCCTAACGCCTAAACCTTAGACCCTAAACCAGGATCCCTGTGCACCGCCGAAGAACGAGACCGCGACGAAGAAGTGACGGCCAGTGCCTCTCACTTCTGGGCTAGGGCTTAAATTCAGGGCCTAGTATTTAGGCCCTAAACCCTAAACCCTAAACCCTAAAGGTTTGGGGTTCAGGATCCAGGGTTTAGGATTCCAATGGCTTGTGCTGCTCTGACGGCACGGAGCCGGCGCCCTGAATGCCCCAAGCCCAAAGCTGGAAGCGCTGGAATCCGGGTTTAGGGTTTAGGGTTCCTGGAACACAGGAACACCGCTCCACGAAGAAGACCGCTACAAGGCTACAATGTGGGCCGACCTTGTCCCGCGGGATGAGAAAAGCTCTGTGACACTGCTTTGTGCCGTCAGCCTGCGACGATACAAGGACTACAAGGAGAGAGGGCGAGAGAAAGAGAGCGACTGTATTTTGTTTTGTAATCACAGCAAGAGCTCTCGATCGAGCCAGGCGTTGGACAGGCAGAGCCAGGTGGAGGAGAAGGAGCCTCAATATCAACATGAACTAGTTTCAGAGCCCGTCAAAACTTTAATATGTCAGACTTCATAGCAGTGGGTTTCCGATAAGAGAGCCCAAAACTCTGAACAGGGTGTGTATGGGCATGTGGCTCTACAACCGTTAAGCCGTATGGTCTGGGAGTTTAAACCCCAGGAGCCAATGCAAGGCGAGACGGCAAGTTTAGATGCCGGGCTTATAAGCCTCGGGATTCAGGACTTAGGGTTCTCCCAAGGAGGCCCGCCATAGCCCACAGCTAAAGGCGACTTTGACAAGACCCCAATGCCTTTTGAGGCCCTTCTGCGGAGGTTTGCTGTTCGCCTTAAGCCCCTTAAGGACCCCAGACAGTGTTAGTGCAGTATCCCTTACAGTATCCTTGAAAAGAACCATATAAACCACTTAAAACCTACTTGGAGGGTCGGGGGACTTAGTAAGTAGGTAGTAAGTAGACTTATAAGTACCCTAAAAGGGACCCTAATTGGGGTTATGGTACTTATAAGTCCTTAGAATAACCGGTTACTAAGTCCCCCGACCCTCCAAGTAACCTGTTCCAAACCCTAAACCCTAAACCCTAAACCCTAACAAGGCAATGGCAGCTTTGGCCTCTCTGATGTTTTGATGCAGAGCTGGTTGCCGGTGAGTCTCGGCACAGCCACTTTTTTGCAGCGAGAGCTGCGGGCTTGCAGATGTTTGGTTTTTGGCTTTAGGGTCTAGGCTTTCGGGTTTAGGGATTCGGGTTTTGGCTTTCGTGTTCAGGATTGAGCTTTTATAAGGCCTCAGTACTTCGAAGAGGGTTTTGGCGGGGTGTTGCAGTCTACACTACTATGCACGTAGGCATCCTCAGTCATCCATTGGTTTCAACGACATTTAGGGTCAGGGCTTCTGGGGTTTGCGGGTTTAGGGGTTAAGATTTTAGGGCTGGTGGCATGCTATAGGTGTCGGAAGAGCTTGTGATACTGTCCCCTTAGATAGCCCTCATATGTTTAAGCTATGGTAGACGCCAAACATGTCCCCGCATGGTTAAACGATGATAGACCCCAAAGTTGGCCCACAATCTTGTATGATACACCTAACCATTGAGGCCCCCGCTCATTCCTCAAGCGTTGGGGTGTTGAGAAGTCCGCTTGATTCGCGACCTACCTCACCTTAAATCCGAAGCTCTTCAGATGAGGGTTTGGGGTTTGGGTGTAGGAATGTATAACTCCCGAACTTTTCATCCTTTCTGAACGTAGTAGTGTCTGATCCCCCAATATTTTTACACCCGAACCCGAACCCAGTAAGCCCAGACACGACACTTCGACACACACCCCCCCATGAAAAAGATTGACAGACACCGGACCCCAAAAACCCCTAAAATTTGGCCCCCTCGTCCCTAAACCCTGTAGGACCCTACATCCCTCTTAAATTGAAAAACTCGAAGCCGCAGATGGTGCACCGACCTCACCCCCAAGCGCAAAGACAAGAGCACAAATCTTCGGAAGCCCTTACACAAATGAAAACTACCTATAGTCTCCATTGGAGTTCCTTTTTGGGGTTTAACCAATTTTATATCAAGGATCATAAAAGCTAAGCCCAACAAGGAGCTACAATGGAGACTATAGGTAAGCCCCAAAACCCTAAACCCTCATATCTCAGCCTGTCTAGAAACACAATCACAAACCCAGGCGGCTGCTCTTTCACTCCTTGTGCTGGCCAGCAAGTGCCGGGGCCCCTCCGGGTCTAGCCTTTGAAAGGGTTTAGGGTTTAGGGTGTTAGGTTTTAACGAGCTTTCGGGGGGGGGGGGATTGGGTTGAAGGTTTGGGTGTCGTGACCGTGCCTTTGGGGTTTTGGGGTTTTGGGTTCAGAGTAGGGGTGTCTCGTGGGCTCAAACACGGTCCAAGATACGCTTTTATGGCCCAAGTACCGTACTCCGTTTTTATCTTGAAACCCATAGTCCTGGCTCCCAAACACCATGGTCTGATCTATTTCGGGGCATAAGAGGTTTTGAGACTTGTGACTTTCCAAGCGTCGTCTCAGTTGGCTAGCAAACCTTTATGTTGTAGACATCTTAAGGCCCTTACTAGCCCTTGTTGTAGATTGTCATCAGTGCAATACCCAATAGAAGGCCTTTATGGCAGCCAGTGGGGTCCCCTAAACCCTAAACCGTGGTCGTATGGGTGGTTGTCAAAATTATGGTCCCTTTTTGGGTACCCCCCCCGTACTATAATACGGACCCAAAAAGGGGACCCTAATTTTGACAACCGCCCATATGGACTTGTTTTGATTAATTTGTAGGGTCTCTGCGCTTCCTAGGAAGACCAGGCGGCCTGCTCAGAGAGCCCAATACCCCTTAATTATAAGGGATATAGCCTGAATCACAATATGAACCCCCTTATAATTGAAGGTAGATTCCTTATTTGAGGGGTACTGGGCTCTCTGGCCCTAAACCCTAAACCCCTAAAGCCCTAAACCCTAAACCCCTTCTTATGGTATTGGGCTCTCTGGAAGGCCTCCTCAGCTAAGGTGTATTTATAACAATGTCAGATTGCCGTGGAGTGCAATGGCTTCGGAGGGTGGCCAGTTCAGGTCGGAGCCCGGGTTCGACCCCGGAGACCCCAATATCCCCAAATTAAGGAATGCCTATAGTCTCCATTGCAGTTTTTTTTGGTTGGTTTAACCAGTTTTATATTAAGGATCCTAAAAGGTAACCCCAAAAAGGAACTACGATGGAGACTACAGGTATACATATACACCTTAAACCATACTAGGGGTCCTGTCATAGTTTGTGAGATAGACAGTAGAAGCCCAAAAGTTGGAAACCGGAGCCGAAGTGTCAGCTGCTGTGCTCGACCGGGTCGTCAACATGCCCCCAGACGGCACCCAGAGAGCCCAATCTCCCTGAATCAAGGAATAATTCCCTTACATTCCTTAATCCAATATACCTTAATACTATAATATGAATTCCCTTATAACTTAAGGTTATATATTCCTTAATTAAGGGGTCTTGGGCTCTCTGGGCAAGAATGGCAGAGGTCGCCGGAACATCACTCGACGGCTCCTTGCTCGGAGCTCTTTTCCAAGAATAGAAGGTGAGACCCTTATAAGGACCCCTAGGTATATACCCTTAATATTGCCATTATATCCCCATCATATAGCCCATTATAGGGAGGGGTCCTGATTGAGGGTCCCTCCTTTTCCCTTTTGATCTTTAGGATGGTTCTTGTCACGAGCAGTGATGGCGCTCTCGCCGAGATCCAAGAGCCTCTTGAGACCGTCACCGTAAAAACTGCATCCCCCCAAGACCTACCCATAGGCCCCATAGTAGTTCCTTTTGGGGGTTCATATGTATCCCAAAAAGGAACTACTATGGGGCCTATGGGTACAGTATAGCATACCCAGAACCCTATAAAGCTACAGGGCCCGTCATGAGCTAAAGTATGTTTGTCTCTGAGCAGCAATGCAGCTCCGTAACGTGAGCCCTTGAACGCATCGCCCAAGGTTTCCGCATTGCGCGGCAAATGGTACCAGCACCCGAACCAGTCAGATGGCCCAAGGTCGTGCTGAGTATGTGAGCTCCTTGCGAAAATTGGGATGTAGGCTTCGATGGTACATGAGGGACATGCAGCACATCGATCAGCATTGATCACAGATTGAAGTTCAGATCAGCAGCCAGATGAAACGCTCAAGAATCGGATGCTGCTAGGTTCAGTGCTACGTACCTGTTCTTTGTGTATTAGGTGCGCATAGAACTGTCTGTGTTTGTTCAAGAGACTTGTGAAAGACAGATGCAGAAACCTGTGCATACGTAGTTATGCATAGATGCAGGTATGAGAAATGAGCGGATACGTAAGAATGCAAACAAACAGGATGATATCACATATTCCGATACAGGTAACTTGATATAACATAGTAGTTTAAGTTGCACGTACTGCAACATCCTAGATTTATATGTGTAGTGTAATGGCTCATCAGACTACAACTCAAAAGGATACAGCAAAAGTAGAATAGAATGAGTTCAATGCAAGTTAATACAACATAGTAATGCCTAACGCAAAAAACAGGTTATACTATAGCATACGGTAGTCTAGGAAAACAGGGCATGTCGAAAACAACCATGATACAGTATAGTTCAACATAACGGATACAGTATAATTCAACATAACGGCATATAACAGCATGTATGCTGTAGTAAGACAAAATGCAATGTCGTTGTCATATCGTACACATTTTTTAGTATAACAACGCATAAAGTAGCATCCTTTTCGATAGTACAATATAGTGGAAGCAAGAGTTAAGGCAATGTAATTGAAACATGTAACTCAGTACAGATTAATGCTGTACAACGCAACTATGTGTTTACATATACGTGTACGCATTTGTTATATATATATATATATATATATGTATATATATATACATATGCATATGCCTACGTATATACACACGCGCACATCTGTGTGTGTCCGCATGCAGTTTGTATCTTGATCATCCACACGTACATGTTCGTAGAAGCATACACACATGTGTCCATCCGTGCATGTACCCACAGAGAT